CCAGACGCCAACGCTTAATTATTTTAAGAACGTGTTTGAAGAAAGGAGGATCAGTTGAGAGACTGCACACTTACTGCCTCCCAGACTAATGCGGACGCCGCGAGGATTGAGTGCCACAGCATCTATAGCCTCTATTCCATTGCTACTAATCACCACCTTGTTCACAACATTCGCTGTTGTCGGCGACTGCACACACAAAACACGACAAAACATCAAATCCAAAAACACACGAAAAATGATACTTGCGAGCAGGTAACAGTACACGTCCATGGGTCGTAATAACAGCACAGCTACTGATGATAAAATAATATGAAGTTGGTTGCTCCAACGAGGAATACACGCTTCCTGCCGAACTTGACACTTGAATTCACCCCTCATCAGTTCTAAGTTCGTATTCGTAAAAATTGGAGGCGTATCCAATTTCGAAAGAGGTGTCAACACCGACGCAATCCACACAGTCAAGTAAAGCCAATTTAGAATCCGAACGTTTTCGTTCCCTTCTCATCATGTTCCCTTCTCATCATGTTCCCTTCTCATCATGTTCCCTTCTCATCATGTTCTGTTCTACTGAGTGTATTTCACACATACATGTCCAGGGGCGTGCTCGGCCCCCCAACTAGGGGGGTGCACGGGAGCCGAGGGGAGCCCCCCCCCGGCAATTTTCTGCAATTTGTTTGCAACCTTTCTTGAATTTTAGAGCATATTTGCATACATTACAATTGCAATTACCCAGATTGAAAATTTTTGGGGGGTGCACGTGCCCCCCCGTGCCCATCGCCGAGCACGCGCCTGATGTCTAGTGTGAGGTTTTGATCTATGATTTTGCCTTAGCTCTATAAGTTGCTGTGTTTGACATTTTTCTATTATTCTCTGTACTTACCCATGATGGTAAGGAAACGAAAACGTTCGGTTACTAAATTGGCTTTACTTGATTGTGTGGATTGCGTCGGTGTTGACACTTCTTTCGAAATTCTATCTTTAGATAATTATAAAAGGATGCGTAATGGCTACGAAACACTGTGAATTGAGCAGGGAGTGGTGCTTTCTTGCAAGTTTGCCAAGTGGAAGGTGCGACGTGCTCCTCATGTGCTCCGGATGGCAGTCGTGAGTCAGTCAAGTTCGGCAGGAAGCGTGTGTTCCTCGTTGGAGCAACCAACTTCATCACTAATACCGCCGAAGTCGCAACCTTGAAGTTCGTAACGGCTACAGTGCAGATATGATAGGTGCATTTGTTAGCTTGACATGAGAGTAACTAAGTTCAAGTCAAATGTGCTTGAAGCATGGATGATAAGCAGCGCACATGCACCCACACGCGCGTACACACACACTACTAATATGCTGTGACTTACAAAAGCGGTGCTGCACTGCATGGTGGCGCCCGGCTTAGGCTGAATGATGATGCACTGTTGTTCTACAAGATCAACACGCACGCACACATACACACATACAGTATGCAAAAACACCAAGATGATAAGTCGATAAATCATCGGAAACACATCACAGAAATGAAAGGAAAGGAATAAATTACTGGCACAATGTTACATACCATCCGCAGAGTTTGGCCATGGTACATCATAATCCCATGTCTGCGGGATGCCCAACGAAGTTGAACAAGATCTGATCTTCACTACTGCTATATCCCCTCCATTTCTACCCCCCCCCCCCCCCCCCCCCGCGCATGTTTATCAAGCCATGCCAGTGCAGTGTGAGAACACACATAGACCTAAGTGTAGGCAGGAGGCTGGTCCAGTGGTAACGCAAGTAACTAACCATCTTTGACTAGGTCATCCAGCTTGAACAGGTCTTCGTGAGACAGATACAAGTCCCTAGCAAGGAGGCAAAGGTCAAACATGCAATAGCCGCAATAGCAATAAACCAAATACTTTAACCAAAAAGCGAGCTTGGGGGCAGGACAGTAGATACACGGACAACAAGGCATGGCCCTTCACACTGCACCCATGCAGTGTGCAAAGGAAAACGTGACAATTATTTATAAACTAGAATGGTCTATTAACAAGGCATGAAACCATTTTGGCTCACAGCATGATAGGATGATTATCACTAAGTCGACCTACCCTTATAACGATAACCTCTATAACGATATTACCCTTATAACGATATTTTTCTGGCAAACCAAATCACAACATTGATTTGTGTATACAATGCCTTACCTCTATAACAATATTGCTATATTACGATATTACCCCTATAACGGTATAAAATGGGCCGACATATCGACATTTTATAACAATATCTAGCAGGGAATATGTAGAGTCCACTATCCAGGTAGGGTAAGCTTCACTTGAAAAGCCGCTGGGACATGATGAAATGCAATGGGGGTACCAGTGGGCACCTTGCTGTGTACATGATGTGCATGTACGTCAGTTTTTCAAGCTACGAAGAGTGTAAAAAATGAACAAAATCCATGCATCATGACGTATGTGTATGAAATGAACTAGTACCCCTATAACAATATGATCCTTTATCACTCTCGAATCGTGATAAATAGGATATTGACCTTGACTTCGGTCTATATGGGAAATATAGGCCTCGTAAAAGACCTCGGCGGACCTCGGTCTTTTACTCAGCCTATATTTCCCATATAGACCTCGTCTTGGTCAATATCCTATACTTATTAAATATAACAATATTTCTTGGTCTGACGCAAATATCGTTATAAGGGTAGGTCGACTGTATAATGTTCTAGTATGCATGCTTTGGGCACTGTTGCGTATCGGTTTCGTGACAAGGAAAGACATTTTATGGTCTCTTTTTGTTGTGGTTCTTTGATTTCATTTTGTATTGTTTTGCGTTTTCCTTGTCGACTTTGTTGCATGGTTGTTTTGGCTGCACTTGCAGTGTTCTAGGCAACATGTGGTCATGAACGGTTACGTCAATGTCACGCGTGTCACAATGTATTGCGCATGCCCATACGCTGCCACGGCGTTGCCTCTTTCTTTAGTTCTCGGTTTTGCCTCGTCGAGTCCGGTTAGTACTTTTAGTTCAATTACGTTGTTGGGTGTGGCGAGTCAGATGGGTGGGGAGGCTGGACCCCTGACCCCTGGAGCACATGTGCGGGTGCACACAATTTGGCGACCATGCAAAAGGCACTGCTGTTTCTTATCTAGAAAGCATCCGCATCGTTCCACCTGCCTAGTACCTCACAAATAAAACTCTTCTAACGAAGAGTGGAACAGGACTTTGCTCGGAGATTGTGAGACACTGATCAGCTGGATTGTCGATTATATTGGTCTACTACCTGGTTAACCGCTAACCCAATCAACTATGACACGTGCAACAGTGTTAAATCGTGTAATAACGTTTATAACAATAGCCAATACAGGCTATACCTACTTCTGCGTGACGAAGTCGGCCGTAACGTTTCGGACACTTTGCTTGGCATACTCTAGTAGCTTATCCAGCTGCTCTTCCTCCCGGCAACAGTCGTCCAAGTCCTGCCGTAGCCTGTGCAACTGCTCGTTCCCTTCACTACCATTGCTGTCGGGTCGTTTGCCCCTAACAATCGCAGAAAACAAATAAAAACAAAAAAGCAATACATTATTTCACCGAATACAGTACACAATTTTCAGTATGTTTCACAAAACGGCCCAGTCATTACTTAACCTCTGGAGCAAGGATTGCCCACTACAGGGTCATGTTTGGACTACAATGTCATGTAGCTAACTTGAAACTACGATTTTTTGACTTGAGAACTTTTCAGTTACAAAATGAACCATTCACACGAAACAAGAATTAAACGAACACCGTATATCAAATGACAGAAATGCGTACTTGAATGAACAGGGTACACTAATTATTATTTCTCCGTTCCTTTTTTCAGTTCAAGCCTTACTTCCACTGAATGCTGTTCTTAGATTTCTTCTCGACCAGTTCGACTCCCTCCAGCACGTTGGTTATATCATAAATTCGACGCTTCTGCTTCACTTGCAGAGTGTCGGCGGCCTGAGATTGGGAGACACACGACAAAAATGCCTACGGTGAGCGAGTATTCCACCGTACTCGAGCAGCATTGCCTGACTTATTACTTGTTTCAAGTCCAGAACTCCATCTGGAGAGTCCTGCAGCAAAGCGACAAACTTCGACGTGAGGAGACCAAGAGACTTGTCTCGTCTCGGGGTATCAGATTGGGAACCTCTGCCCCCGGTGGCCATGTTCAACAGCACTCCACAACGCCACTGCTAAAGGGGCTTCACGAAACGAATAGACGGACAGAAAATAAACACAGGACTACTTGTAGACTATTTTAGTATTTACGACTGCCTCAAATCAGCTTCAAGTAAAGTTGTAAATCTGCTCGTACTCAACAGTCGTGACTGATTTCCAAGTATTCCTCCGACGAACGCTATTGGTCGATCCGAGCCTAGTTACTAGGCAATGAAGTGCCATCCCGCTTTCACAGATGCAGGGATCACTACTCCTACTCCTACTCCTAGACCTAGGCTACAGTACAGACTGGAGAGTACATGTATACTGGTATACGAGCGTCGGATGTGACGGTACCGTATGGCTGCAACAGTGACACGACTCTTAGTGACATGACAGCGGTCATCAGAAGACATAGCCTAGCCCAAGGCGAAAATCTAGAAATCCGAGACGACAAGCTGAGCTTGTTAGCTATGGCCCTGAAGCTTGAATGGTTGGTAAAGAAACTGTCTTGTCAAATGTTGCCCGCTCGATTTCAAATTGCTTGTCATAGCTTGGCACTACTACATGTAGTAGTACTGTAGCTGAGCACGGCAGCAGCAGTGACAGCAGTGTGAAATGTCATGTCACTGTACTGACTGTGTAACTCAGTTACTACACTGAGTCATCAGACTAGCGGGTAGTGACTAGTGAGTAGTGTACAAGTCATGCAGTGTACTAGTAGTAGAACAGTAAACTGTAATACACCTGAAAGTGTGGAGTCCGACACTCCACACTCTGTTCTCTGCTGATCTGGTGAATATTCAGTATGAACAAAACATCCATTTTCGTCTCGTAAACTATGATCCAGCATGAACTCCAGTGTTGCTGTAGTGTACATGTGTGGGACAGCTCCGATGATTCTGTACCTGTGACAATGCTATGCATCGCTGTGGACACACTCAGCAAAGGATAGTGACTCATTATGGTTTGTCTCCCAGGCAGATAATAATAATAATATCGCTGTGTCCATATTGAACGGGCAAGGCACAGCTACATTGTACTGAAGTACGAGTATGCCGGATACATAAATGTGTACCGCCGGTGCGGCATTAGGAGATTCAAATAATCAACACAGCTTATTTCATCATGAGCTGTAATAACTCAGTACTATGAGCCATAATACAGTAACCAATAAGTAATTTCCAGGCGCGTCGGAACGGCTTTGGAGGTGGGGCGGCCATGGAAGGGGGTCCGGGGTCCTCCCCCGTGGAAAAAATTTCAAAAATTGAAGCCAATTGCAAGCATTTCCGGGCATTTGGTGCCATTTCAGTGTACGGTAACTACAATGAAAGACTTTTTGATTCTGCAAAAAACCAAGAAGATGCTACGATCGGGGACAAACATTACCCTCCCCCGGGAAAAAATTCAACAATTGAAGCCAATTGCAAGCATTGCCAGGCATTTGGTGCCATTTCAGTGTAGATCTACATCTACATGGACTTTTGATTCTGCAACAAACCACGATCGGGGACAAGGATTTGCTACGTTTGCGCTGAGATCATCGCGCTTTGTTGCAGTGTGCTAAAAAAAAATAAAAAAACCGCCGAAAAAGTGAGGCGGCCATGGCCGCCCCAGCCGGTGCGGTTCCGACGCCCTTGATTTCACAGCCAAGCAGGTCTGTACACATACACACACACACACATGCGCGCGTGCCACAAGAAGGTAGGAGCTCAAGTAATCAACTATCTCACGGTCAGTGTGACACTTGAAGCCAAACTTAGACAAGACAACATGCAGAATAGAAGTCATGATTATCTCGACTCCTGATCAGAAGCGATGAAAAGCTCAACTCAAGATTCATGAACTGTTCTCTCACATACTGTTCCAAAGTTGGCATTCGATCATCAGTGAGGACGAGATGGTAACGTCTCAGTACACAGGCTGCCAAGTCAAGACTTGGACACTTTAGCCAGCTGCTTGCCCTTCCTTGCCGGGTGTTGCTGTGCCAGTGATGGCCGCTTAGCACGCAGTAACTTGCTAAACTTGGTGTCAGTCTGAAGGCAGAACAACAGCACACCGCCTTTCATGATCAATGATAACAGTGAGATCCTCTTTAGAATGTTTTGTAGCATGTCGTTGTAGACGAATATGTGTATCGGAATTCTGCTGCAGTCCCCGGGTTAAGCATAAGTCCAGTTGTTGGCATGGCAACATGGAAGCATACCGGCAGTGCAGGCATGACTTGCACCAGGTACTACACATCTGAGTAATACTAGTTGTATACAAGCAGCACTACACACTGCATGAACAGCACTCTCACGGCCCCAATCACAACACACGACCTGCCCTCACCTCGTTCTTGGCCTTGACCATGGTAGTGAAGAATTCCCTATCCGCCAGGCACGCCTGTAGTGACGGCATTGCAGGCTCGGGTACACCGGGCAGGCCGCCAATCTCGATCTTCGACGATAGCTCGGTGTTCGGACGACGCAGTTGTTTAGATCTGGAGTTGGAGACGGGATCTTTCGTGCTGCTTGAGTCACTTTCACCAGTACTGGCACTCGCGGCACTAACTGAGCTTAGCACTGAGCGCAGATCCATGGGTCTTATTCGCTGAAGATCACCAGCCACTGGTGAGCCACTCTGTTTCAGAGATCGTTGGGCTTTCGTGGCTTCAGCCTTTCCAGCTTTTCGTTTGTGCACAACACCGTCCTCAGCCAGGAATAATTTAGGCATGGCGGCGATAATCTCATCCACGTGATCCTGGACTTTTGCTTCCGTGACTGGTTGATGATGTACCTTTACAGGAGTGGGGAAGAAAGCATGAGAGCGAGCGAGCACGCACGAGAGAGTGAGACAGACAGAGACAGATAGACAGACAACTCTAATCCTATAATATATGTATTTATTGCAACATCTTAATAAGACTCAGATGAAACACCGGCCAATGTGAAGAGATTTGTAATAGCCAACCACGGCGATAAAGATAAGTGGGTAATATCTGTGGTCTTCTCCAATATCAACGTCATTCTGAAAATGACCTATGGTCGAAACTTTTTATTTAACAGTTGTCATTATCAAGTCTTGTTTCTGTTGTGTGGTGTGGCTCTCTACTACTGTTGTCTGAGGCAGGCAGACAGCAAGGCAGATGGCAAGGCAGACGGCAAGGCAGACGGCAAGGCAGACAGACCATCACAGAGAGGCAGACAGACAGACAGACAGACAGACAGACCATCACAGACAGACAGACAGACAGACAGACAGACAGAGCTTCAATCTGAGTGTAGTGGTAGTGGATACAAGTTCAAAGGACTGTCAGGCATTAAATATGTACATCGGCAGTCAATATACCTTCACACGAGCATCCATGTGACACTGGCGGATGGCTGTGCGAACTCGCTCCCGCGCCGCCATCCCAATTTCCATCGTCATTATCTCCCGCGGGGTTGTGTCCGGGAATAACCTGCTGGCAAGCGACAAGGCAGTTTCTTCCTGGCTATTCAAAGCCAGAGCAGAGAGGACATCCTCCTGACATTTGCCAAGATCCTGCAACAAGAACGGTGCACAGTCATATACTAGCAATAGAACTACGGCTAGTGGTGAATATCCTTGTTTGCATGCTGCTCCAGCTCTCACATACAGCGCTGCTCAATGAAATCCGATCGCGTGGGTCAAGTTTGCACCCCCCCCCCCCACCCTACACCATTTCACAGTCCAGTGTTCGAAGGTCCAGCTAGGGCTGCAGAGCGCCCGGCGCATACCTGACTCACTCGATTGGATTTCATTGACTGCGTAGCTCTCAAATACACCATCGACAGTGGCTAAGGCATTATTCTACAGCTACAACACACAGCAGGTCTACAGCTACAACACACAGCAGGTCTACAGCTACAACACACAGCAGGTCTACAGATACGACAGAATGCCACTGTGTAGGAATACCTTCTTTAAAAAGTGCACCCGTGCTCGTTGTGCGTATGCTGTTGCAATCGCTGGCTGAACAGATATGGCCGAGTTGAAGTACTCCAGACTGCGGTCATAGCACTGTTGAGCGTACTCGCGCGCACCCAGCCGACAGTTCACCACTGCTAGGCGGCCACGCAGCGTCCAGTCCTCGGGGCTCAAGTCCAACGCTTGCTCGTAGTCGGCCAGTGCAAACTCCAGGTCGGCCATTTTGAAGAAGCAATCTGAGCACACACACACACACACACACACACACACACACACACACACACACACACACACACACACACACACACACACGTAATCCAGCAACACCAAAAAAATAAAAATAAAGCAATGCGGAATTTGCCAGGTTACAAAAAAGCGAACACATTGCAAAAGGAGCATGATATCCTAATTACTGTTTAAAGGAAACATGCGTAACACGAAAGGTCAAATTTGTCTGTGCTTACCCAACCTTACCATACATTTATGTGTGTATAATAGTGGCAACACCGGTGCCCATCGAAGTGTTCATGCGATCCATGAACACTGCACATCTAGCCAAGGATTGATACGACTGGGATAGTGTCAGCATGATGGAGATCTTGACTTGAAATTTCATTTTTTTTTAATGATAGCTTGCATGCCGTCCTACCCAAGAAGTCGCGCTGCAAAAGTGCTTTTAGTTGAGAAATTTCTTGAAACAATTGTTGAGATAAGGTCTTTGTCAGGCAAAGTAATGGCGCAAAATGCAAGGCTATGTCCAGTGCATTGCATACGCGCAATTTTATCAATTGTCAAAATGGCCGCACATACTCCTGTCGGAGCGCTAGCAACTCTGTCCAAAGTGAATTTTGACCATGGCACATCAATCGTGGTGAGGTCCTAATGTTTTTATTAGTCTGCCAAGGCAGTGGAATGCATAATTCCATACACTGTTTCCATGGTTACCATGGGCTGTTACCATGGAATTTTGTAGTATGCCTTGTGCGATCACGTCTAAAATTTGTGGACTCCTTCATTAGCCCCTGAGCAACAGTTTAAGGTCAAGTTTTAGGTCAATGTTAGAACAGAGGCCATGCAGCATGTCTGTGTATGATGGTCCTACCGGTAGGTCCTACCGGTAGGACCGAGGTCTATGCAAGCTATCATTAAACTTACCACCGCGATTTATATACATGCCGGAATCATTCTTCTCACGCCCTATGGCCTTGTTTAGCAGCAGGACAGCCTCATTGTAAAACTGGTTCCTGAAAAAGGGTTAGTTCACAAATGGAAAGAGATGCGATGCGGTCACCTCACAGCTCAGTACACCCCCAATCTAATTCAAGTCATATACAACGGTATACAGTAGTATTACATACAAATACACCAGTCTGCATGCATGGGCCCTAGTCTCTTTGAACCTTGACTAGCTGTATATGTGAACAGACCAGTGTTACACCAAGTTCAACGGACATTCATACATTTATCCTATGCACTGCATTGCAAGGTTGGTGGTGATGTCTGGAGGCAATTTTTACCAATATCGTGCTCAAAGCATTGAACACTGGTCCCGAATGCCACCAGCAGTACAGAGCGCAGTGGAAAGACCGTAAACAGTAGCCCAGCAATGTGACTCACATGAAACACTCCACGGCTAGCTCATTGTACGTGAGACTCAAGTGCCGGTGCGCGTCGCAGCTGACCTGGCATTTCTCGTCCAGGCCACACTTTGCCAGTGCTATGGTGAAGTCGTCGACGGCAGCCGTGAAGTTGCGCATTCGCCGGTGCAGGATACCTCTGTAGGTAATCAGCCGTAAAAGTGCACACCATGTACTTGTCAAGTAATCCAGGGGTTAACTACCTGGCATATAGTAAGTTAAAACAGGCGTCGAAGAGACAAAACACATCAATGAAGTGAACGCGTGATATGAATGCGTTCACTTTTTTTCTATCTAGATACTAAGTCTTATTCAGGAGGGAAAAACAACTTCACAAGACAGTACGCACTAGCTGCATTGCAAGAGGCAACATGCTAGATACATTCTCTTCCACATTATGTACAAAAGCATCACCAACCGAAACACGTGATAGGTAGCTGCCGACGGGTCCGCTTCAATGGCCAAGGAAATCTTCTGCAGTGCTTCCGAGTAGTGATGGCCCAAGCACAACTTGACTGCCTGCAACAAATTATGTGAAGGAGAAAAAAGTGAACATGTGTCAACGGCAATAAATAAGATTAATTGTGCACTCATAACAACAGCAAAAAATGAAGAAAGTTAAGTTCCATAACTCCAGCCGTTTTACGACTATTGTCTCCTCGTCGATTGTTTAAACGTGTCAACGGGATGGAGGTATTTGCAGAGGGCAACAAAATGAACGTACTTGTAGTTGACCTCGAACGGCAGTCGGTAGTAAGTCAAATGTCAGTCAGCCGGCAGGAAGCGCGAGCTACAACGTTCAAGTGGAGCAGCCACCTTCTTCTGTCCTAGACTTCAACCACATGAAGCGGCATTCTTCCCCACGCTGCACCATCGTTTCACCCGTGAGTCCGATCAAATGAACAATCTCTTCTTGGATTCTATAACCCAACTGGCATATTAAACAGGAGGTGATTTGTCATCCGTACTACTGTATGAGCGTATGATGCATAATAGGACCGTGATCCATTTATGCTCGCTGTTTTCTGATGTGTTGGGCTTGCTAACTGCAAGATGGAAGTACATGTGGGTATGATAATTCAGTATTCATGTACTTCACAAATCTGTTGTCACTTTCGCCTTCATAGGTGACCATGCGCAGTGAAGTTAGATGGCCGCCAGGGTATTAGTGTTATACTCTGAGTCTCACCTGCGAATGAAATCCGTACGCTCTTTGCTGCAAGTCCTCGAGCAGTTGATGTGCGGCTGCATGCTCGCTGTCAAGGTCCAGAGCTGCCTGTATGTCGTAGAAACAGGCACTGTTCTGCGCAGAGAGGAAGAGAGGGTCACTGCGGGGGTAGAACCGAGTTGCTGGTACCTGTTAAGATTCTAATGTCACTACTAAGCTGCAGTACACTGACACACAGCATACAGGCAATGTGGCCTGTTCCGGCCCTGCTATTGTGCCGGTATGCATAGTCGTGAAGGAAGAATCACCATGCAGCCATAAAAGTAACAACACTTGGCTAGATCTGGACGGAAATGGTTTCTACTCGTTACCCGCGCACACACAGTCATCATAACGTAGTCAACTGGGTGTTTGCAATGCACTGATGGAAATGCACTGGCAACTTATCAGTGTACCTGAGACCAGTGTTTGATAGGTTAAACTCATCACTTACTCGTCCACATCCCTTGTAAAGCCTCGCTCGCACAATGAGGAAGTCGGCATTGTCGTCGTACTTCTCGAGCAGGTGATCAACGTAATCCAGGCATTCCTTGTGCCGGTCAAGAAGTGCCAAGCAAGAAATCCTGTGTGCAACATTAGAACCAACATAGATGATGCAACATACTGGCATCATCCACGCAAAACACTTTCGCACAGCAATCATGCCCTGTGGAAGATATTGTGAGCACTGAAAACGAGAATCTGTCCTAAAGGAAGCTTGCTAATTTAAAAATGCTAAACACCAAATGAGGAGCGTTGCATCTAATCATAATTATAGTATGAAGCCTCACAGCACTGAAAGCTGCACCTACGCACCTGCTGCCATGGACTTCCATCGGGCAAAACTCATCCTCTATGACCCGATCAAATAGTGCCAGTGCTTCCTCATACAGTGTCAGCTCAAACAAACTGCGCCCGTGCAGGTACAGCACCAGCGTCAGGCGCTGACGAAGCTCGCTATTGGCTGGTTCACAGAACAAGGCCTGAGCATCACGTGACACACACGTGTACTCACATACACATGCACACACACACACACACACACACACACACACACACACACACACACACACACACACACACACACACACACACACACACATGTACACACCATGTACACACCATGTACACACCATGTACACACACATACACCATGTACACAGGAACATTGAAAACAACGGCGGCTACCTTATTCATAAAGCTGCAGCTCCCCCACACCATCAGTATTTACATGCATGGAAGAGTGCTCCACATCATGTGCAAACCTGTGAACTTTGCCAGAGCAAAGAGCACAACTTTTTACATGGATGGTTGGTGACCATACATGAACGTTACCTTTTCAAAGTTCATGGTGGCCGACTTGAAATCTGCCATCTGTAGGAATGCTTCGCCGCGTAGGAGGTATAGCTCTGACGACTTGCTAGCCAAGAGAATGGCCCTGGATAGCTTCACTATTGCTGACTGCCACATGCATGCAGCCATGCACTGCCGGGCACCTACGACACTGTGCAGACGGTGCATGGGATGCAGAATCCAAACAAACATTCAGTCAGGTGAGATGTGAAGAGAGCTATGTGTATGCACATGCAGAGGCTAGCTTGGATGTAGCGCACAACGGTAGGGTGAGGCGAGAAGTGTCACTAAGTCTTACGGCTACTCAACATTAAATACTGGCACAGGTGCCAACATCTTCATTAGCCGTGTCCATTTACCACTTGTGCCTGATGTCCCCTCAATGAAGACAAGACCAGCGTGGTGGTGAGACCCTGCTGCTCAGCCGACCAAACAGTCTTCCGGGCTTCCTTATGCCGGGCAGAATGCCCATAAAGACAGATAGCCCCTACGGACCTTAGTACATCTGCTACCGGTAGTACATGGACCAGTAGATGAAGCTTTAGAACACTTCCCAAGCCCATGATCGTGCCGCTTAGAATGTAGTCAAGCCAGGGAGCAATATCTCGATGCCACACATGTAATGGCTCAGCCTCTAGCTACTATAACCATGATAACTGCAGTGTGCAAATCAGGGAGTACTAAAAAAATGGGGTTTTAGTACTACAGTACATGGTACATGTTGTCCCTCAACAAACTACAAAGTACATTGTATTGTGTTACTGTCTCAGTGTAGATTCTACTGGGTGAGTTTTCTTACAGTTCTCGACAATGACGATTGACTAGGCTACTGAACGTAGACTCGGACTGTTCGCTGACAATTGAGATACTCGTGGACGCGGAGGACGTGGACCGGGCGGCACAGTCTCCGGTGCCGTTGCTGGGGACTACAGCCGTGTTGGCCTCGTCGAGATCCTGTACGGTCGGAATAGGAACGAGGCACTCTGACGACCCGTCAACGCCCAGCTCGGATTCGCGAGTCCAATCTCGCAGAGGGTCTTCAGCCTCATCAGCATAACCTTGCTCTACTCCTTGATTCTCCATCCTGTCCCAAGAGTGACTCGGGCGGGTGCTAAGCTCGCGGCAACCGGAGTGGGCAAATCTCTGAGACCCCTAGCTGGTCCTTTCCTCTCCAAGTACAAAAATGATTTGCCAGAACAGAAGCAAGAGGACAACGGGTCGTTTCATTCAACTGCCAGTCGGCCAACAAGGGTACAGTCTGAGTTACTACTACTACGGTCATGTACACTACCAGCTTGGGCTTGGTAAGATTGAAAAGGAGACGTCTAGACACAGCTAGCACGAGTTCCGCGCGCTAGCGCTGACAACAAACGGGTTACGTAGCTATGGGCAACAAGGGGCCTAGACAACCGCTAGAAACACGGCGAGCTTTACCGCGTTTACAATGGTTTACGAGTGATCATGGTGATGGCCTGATGACCTTTGTCTTTGATACAAAGCAAAATAAAGAAGAGTTTAGAGACTAATGATTATGTAATGATTATGTGTTACTAGCACACATTAGCCTTCTTTATTAGTTTTATTACTACCGGTATATTAGTAGTTAGTACAGTGCTGGCAAGTGAAATCCGACCCCCTGAGCGGTGCGCTCACATCCCAAAGACCCACCACGGGATGGTAAAACTACGAAACAGAGACTGCTAGAATGTGAACCCACCACTCAGGGGTTGCCAGTTGCCAGCACTGTAGTATTGAACTCGCAGTACTAGTAGTAGTCTATCATTGTAAAACTCACTGCATCAGAGCATCCTGACCTGATACTGTGATAGTGTGTGGGTCTCGTGCTCGCAGTCGTGGGCTATATAAATATTTATACTCATTGTACGATATCAATATTGAGGAGATATTGTTGCAGCATTGTACAATAATTATGGTAATGGAAGGAACAAAATGCTATGAATAACCCAGAAATGATAGGTTGCCCTGTACTCATTGCTTTGATTCCACTGTGAGCTGAGCTGGCTGGCACCTACAGTGTTGAATCCACAACTTCAAAAGATTGGTGAAGTACTGCAGGCTAAGGTTGATTCACCAACATTGTTGGCATTGGTGGGGATACAAGATAATATTTGGGTACAATCAAAACATGATCTGTTGTGGCATGTTGGCAAGGCACAGTGACATGTGAAAGAAACTTCAAAATCATTTGACCATACATGACACGCTCTCTGTACACAAGGCTAAGTTTCGAAAGGTGACAAGTGCAAAAGGACGTGCATTTGCAAACTGCTATTGCCACGACACAAGTCAAGAAATCAAGAACCGATTACATGAGCTGACGACTTCATATAAACTCATAAGTACAGTCGTCCCTCTCTAATCCGGCACTTTATAATCCAGCACCCTCGATAAACCAGCACAATTTTCAGTAGCCAAAAGGTCCTCTTCATGTACATTGCAGCAGTAAATCAGATTTGTTAATCCAGCACCCTCCCTTATCCAGCAGATTTTCGTGGCACAAATGGTGCCGGATTATAGAGGGACCACTGTACTTCCTTCGAAGTACAGCTGTATTCATCCCAGAATGAATCGGCTTCAACCTTGCACTACAGTGTAACACGTTATTACTATGGTCAGGCCATATCACTGCACTGAGCTTTCGGGCAGTGATCGTGGTGCAGGCAAGGGCCCCATCATGACCGTGGCCACTAGCACTGGCGAAGGCCCGACTTGTAAGCGGCCACGGCGCGGTAGACCTCGGCGCCCAGCAGCTCCTTGCCGAACTGCTGCTCCATACGCTGGCACGTGAACACAACCTTGATCAAGTGCTCGTCGTTGCTCTTCACCGTGTGCGTTCTAATCTCATCCCATGACGGTAGGTCGGCGTGATCAACGGACCACGGCACTAAGCTGGGCATGTCCTGCAGAATGTAGACGGAGAGCAGATCACGGCAGAACACACGCACTGCCTCCAGGCGAGCAGCGAACGACGGCAGGCACGGCAAAACCTGCTGCAGAGCGAAGATGGACGTCAGGCCGTGCAGGATGAAGAAGTCGTCGGAATTCGCCGTGGACGCGTACGCCAGCAGAATGCCCTGCATGAGCGTGGAGAGCACTTGCTCTAGACTCTCATCACTGGTGACACTGCCTAGAACGCCGCTGTCATCAAGGTGACCTTCGACTATATCCAGTATGCTGTCCTGGATGTGGAACAATCGAAGCGAATATTTGCCATATCCAGTCAGCGGGGTTAACTTCTCCAGATTCTCATCGACTAGCTCCACCAGTGCGGGAATAGTGCGCTGCAGACGGATGTCTCGCCTCATTCCCAGCAGTATGCTGCACAGTGGGTGGGCGAGGAATTCGTGAGTTGGCTTCGGCGCATTGGCCACGGCACCTGCCCAGCTGGGTAATGGTGAATCAGCTGACGCCACCGTCAGGACTATCTTGTCCCGTGCCTCCGTCGACACAATGCCATCATTGTGTCCCGCAGCCCGATGCGCCCAGACTACATACGCCAGGCCATCGGCCACGTCCTGGGAACTGTTCGCCAGTAACCCATAGCCTAAGTGGATGAGAGGGTGCAGCGCTGCACAGGCAACACCGCCATCCAACAGCGGCGTGTAGTACTCGGCGATCGCACTGCCTGCGCCCAGAGAGTCCACCTTCGCCGTGAAGAACTTGCGCAGGTCTACGAACCTCTTCTTCTTGCCAAGCAGCAGTTTCCATTCGTCCCCCTGCAGGTCACCCTCAGATGCTCGTGCCGGCTCAAGGGGATAGTCCGTGGCCATGTGCTTGGCGATTTCTTCCAGCCTCCCGTCCCTAGCGCCTAGACCGTGCAGTGCCACCAGCGCATGCAACAAGTGGTTGGAGCGGTACACGCGATACTCCACGTGGAAGCGTTGCATGCCAAACTCCGCCAGCAAAGAGAGGAGGCCAGCGGTTTGCGCCATGGTTCAAGCCTCGTGTTGATTCTGGTTTCGTCAGTAACGATCCACACGCACGGTTAGTGACACTCTAGTCTTTGGTTTCCACGCCTGGTCCGGGTTGAACTCGATATTCACCCTTTCTACAAACACAACGCCCCCAGACAGATGCGGTAAGTTTACGTAGTTGAGCGAAAATTTCCAGCAATGGTATGCTCGCTGTATTGAATGATCCGTTGCTGTCTCGGAGTCGTCTTTTATAGTGAGCTCCGATTGATCACATAAACGTCGTTTCTTAGTTGGTGTAATATAGTTACAATACAATCATGTGTTACACAGGCTGTCAGCTGTTGCTGTTGATCGAAGGCTGTAAAGGCATAGACGGTAGACCTTTACAGTGTCACTCGCCAGCATCGACAGATTATTGTCTCGTGATAGACAGTTTGCTAAGTCATCCAGAGCGATTCCAGGCAGTCAGGTCTTTGCACACCATTGTGAGCCACTTGCAAGAAACTCTTGACTGGCTTTAGAATTATCCCAGCTTGGCATTAATCTTTCCAGATCTACCTGTACAGTCACTGCACTGACCATGCTGACGCCGTGAGGGAATGTCGAACGGCACTTCAACGTTCTCGGTGATTTCCCAATCGTTTTTCTTTTGACGGGTCAGTCAGCAGGTCAGAGTCATACTCATTATCACCGATGCATCGATGATGTGTGGAGTATGACTCAAGTACAGTCTACAGTCGAGGATCAGATCATTATCATGATTTCAGTGCGAGCAAGAGTGCCAGCTAGCTACGTTGTTTTTGTAGCGCCTAGTCATCATGGTAGATCTGCCATGTATTGTTACTGCGGTAGTCTACCGGTACCCTACCTACTTAGTAACTAATAATATTACCGTACTGGCAATATAATGTTGCCGCAGTGAGGCCATGAAGCGTTACATTGGCACATGTTTGCCGCACACAGGGCGTTACATGCAAAGTCGCACAGGAGCCGTTACACAGGTTTCTATATTGCCGCAGTCCTTCTTTTGCTATTGCAGGACTTCCTGCTGCGTCCAGTTTTGAACTTTTCACCACGCGGTACACGTGCTTTCACAGTTTTCAGCCTTTTTTGCAATGAAAAGATCGCCGCACCCCGCCGGACGCGCGTTATGAACTCAACGAAAATTTGTCGCACTAGCCTGGTCGCGCGTTACGCCGCACCCCCCTGCGTTACGCGTTACGCGGCAACATATATTGCCAGTAGTCAGTACGGTACTTACTTAGTACAATAGTAGATCTACTTGGCCGTTTGCGCGAGGAGGCCTGGCCTCAGCAGACAGCTGGGCATGGGCGCAAACTGTGGCTTCGGGCATGCATATCGCATAGCGTGTTTTAAATTTTCTAAATAGTATTAGTAATACTAAATGAGTAATAATAATGTGGCCGTATGTTATGTAAAAAAGGAGAGTGTGAAAGGCACACTGTATATCCAAATTAACAAAATAATAGTCCTATTCAAATTACACTAGCATTGTCTATCAGTATCAGCGGGCCAGGCAATACTCAATAGTAGTAAGACACACAATCCGCTTGCCTCCACTCCAGTGACTACAGTGACTAGTGAGCCAGACTTTCAGGGTTTATGAACTCCTCCCTGCGTTCAGTCTAGACTGAGTAGTTGATTGATGCTGTACACTGGTACATGTACAATAAAATAATCATCAATACAGTGGCATGTACATGTCATGTAAATGCCACTGTATTGATGTATTGTACTGAAACGGCGCAGGCGTGTAGCACCGCCGTTGGAGGTGGTCCCCGGGGAATTTTTGAAATTAGGGTGCAAAATCCTGCATGCTGGGCACTTTTGGCATTGTGTTAAAAAGGTGGTCCGCCCCTACGCCCCTGCGGTGTGCGTTTTCTATCTTCATTTTAGTGACATGTTCATCCCCCGAAGTTGACCGGGGGGGGGGGGGGGGCACTGAATGATGCTGTAGTCCTCCAAAACTGCCTGTTTTCGGCATGATGCGGAACGCAAGTTTGTCAGTGTTCGGCAAAATTCAGAGCATGACGTGCGACCAGCAATCATCATGTTGGTCACTGGATCTAACGAGCGAGCATATGGAGTGAAAGTTGAGAAGAGCAACGTGAACGTTTGAAAAGGGTTTCGACTGGGGAAAAACAGATAAAGTTCGTACTCAAACTTCAATATGCATGGCTCAAGAACTTATAACAGAAAAATCAATCCTCCTGCAACGGAAAAAGGTCACTAGAAAATAGCAACCAAGATACCAAGCGTTTAAGGTGGCTCTTGAAAGGAATGCTGCTAGTAGTAAC